GGAACACTTATTGTGACGGACGGGAAACTACGGAACCCTACACTGAGCGTGGCCCGACACGCTCTTGGCCGCTTTTATTTTCTAAGGGGACGTAATAAAGCTTTTAAAATAAAATATACCTTTTTAATATAGAAACAATTAACTGCAGCTTAAAAAAAACTCATTTTTAATGCGTATTTTAGATAAAATTTCATATAGTAAGCCACACCAACCCGCCGTTGCATGTTTGTGTGTCTATCTTTATCTAATCTTAGCGACGATATTGTTTTCGTAACTTGTGTAAGTGAGATAGATATATGTTTACTTAAAATTGTTATTAGTTTCAAAGCTACGTCGTCGCGTTTGGATAGTGGTTACACTTTTTTCGACGCGCGGTAATGTGGTTTGCTGCTCTAGTGTAGTATATAGCTCAATGAGTGATTATCGATATAAGCATCAATATTTTTGGTCTGTAATAAAACCATGAGACTAAAACTCACAATATAATTGGACCGGTATATTTAACAAAGTTCCGTAAACCAACTCACATCAATTTACTTTACGTTATCAATGGGAGTAATGGACATTACTGCTACATGAGAAATTTGTCTCAGTTAGTTAGTAAGCAGATCTTTATAGGTGGGTCTTCGCTAGAGGAGCCGAACACGAGCTCAGCACAAGCTGTCCCGCCCTGCTCGTGCTCGCGGTGTCAAGTGTGAGCGTACAACGAGCCAACAACATGCAAATCGATGCATGCGATGCAAATCTCTTTGTATTCGTCGAAAAACCGATAATAGGCGGAGCACAATCGAGCACGGACCAAACGCTCGGAAACATAGACGTATATTATAAGGTCAGTGCTCGATATGTGATGGTTGTTTGCTATATTTTACAAAAATCGAAGCACTGGGGCAACATCAAACTTCTGACAGTGCTCATATTCGCACTGAATTGGCCTGTGCAAACGTCCTTAAAAAAGATTAGTTCGGTGAAAATATTTCTAATGATAAAGTTCATTTTGATTAATATGATAAAAACGTTTTTTTTTCATGATTTATGTTGGCTTTAAATCTTTTTTGAAACCAATTGCTTGTTCCGCTGATCCTCATAAAGCATTAACCACAAATCTTCAGAGACATGATGTATACAGTTTTGGATACTACATTAAAAATGTTAATCTGTTGATAATCTTGCTACGTACGTAACATAGCGGAGAAAATTGTTCTGATATTTTCGTGAATAAACTTCAAGAAGATTTGTGTTGATAAATCCAGTAATTGTTTCTTAATGTTAATTTCCTAACTCCATATTAGTTTCGTATTATTACTCATTATTCTAATGCTACTTTAATGTTGATTTAATGTTATTTGTTTCGTAATATGTCTTACTCGTTATTGTAACTAGCCTTCACCCCCCGCTACTCCTCCGCCCGCAAACCCCCTATGTAACCAATGTATATTGTTATAACCTGACCTATACTTAGTTACTAAAAAATAATATAATTTAAAATTTTATAATCATCGTCAGCCTATTCTATAGGTTTTAGGGCATAATACACCACGCTAGCCAAGTGCGAGTTGGTGGATGTCACATTTTATCGAATTTTCGGTTCAAGGAAATGACGGTTTCATCATGATGTTTCCTTCACCAGTTTGAACAGTGATGATGTCGATAATGCGCAGATACATTAAAAATGCTAATTTAAATATTTTGCTCGCTCGTCTAGCCTCAAACCCTCCTTTTTTGCGCTGGTTGACCACTCGGTCGACAAACGCCCGTAAGTTTTCGAGACTTCGAGACAAGGGAGCTTCTCGCCGCCTCGCCGCCGGCAGAATCTTTGTACTCATCAGCTCTTAGGTTCTCGCTTAGTCAATTTCGATGAAGCTGTAAAGCTCGCAGGGCCAACAACATACACTTTAAGAAAGAAAAAGAAACAGCGCTCAACCCAAACGTAACCAACGTTTGCCATATAGCCCGCCATGGTCGTTTTATAGTCCTTCAGTGACCCTAATCCCTTATACAGTGGAACTACGAGTATAACAGCTTTGCTTTGCACCTGTCTTTTTATCTCGTCTACAAATAAATGTGTATATTTGTATGTTTATAGTTATTAGACTGCCTCGTTGGTCTGTGGTTGTAGTAGTGCGACTCCTGGCCAAAAAATCAATTATTGGATTTTTCTGTCAAGAAATTCTCAGTAGTTTTCCGGAGTCAAGAAGTTGGCGGTGTCTCACCCCCGTGCCTCGAAAAGCACGTAAAGCCGTTGGTCCTGCGCCTGATCTCTCTCCGGTCGTGTCGGTTTACCGTCCATCGGATTACGAGAGTGAGGGAATAGAGAGTGCACCTGTGCTTGCGCATACACTTGGGTGCTATAATCCTGTCCTGCGCCGATGGCTAGCCTCCGTTGAGGCAGGCTGCCGTGGCCGAAATTTGGTCTAGAAGACATTATAGTTATTAGTAGTTATTTTTTGTATATTGCAAGATTATTTATTTTAGAAAACTATGTGTCCCCATACCAGAAAAATAAACCTACAGAGGAGTATACTAAGTTTTAACGTGCTTACATTGAGATTCCAAAAACATAACTTAAAAATAATTATAAATCAAAAATAATATTCCTGGTTGGAGGTTAAAAACTGGACCAATTGGATAAAATTTTGTTTTGAATAAAACTATTTATACGGATTTTATCACCTTTAATGAATTTATATTTAATTTTCGACGTTTCGGGTGCTTTACGAGTACAGTATACCCATGGTCACAGGGGGGGGGGGCTGAGATGTTTGACGTCCCAATGTTAGCTCGGCTTCCTTCAGTTTTCTAGCACCCATCCAACTGCTCTATTTAAATTTGGTTGTTTTTTTTTTTTAATTTCAATAGCCACGCGTATTACAGTATCTTGAAGTCTTGCAGTGCTATGCCTGGGTCTGGATTTAATTTTGTTAATTATAGGATCCCAAGCAGCTGGCAACACCCATCCGTCTTCTGTATTGAAATTAGGATGTATCTTAATTTCAATAGCCTCGCGTATCATCCCTGGTAGGAATCGGTGTTCTTTTGCAAGAATTTGTGGTTTATCAAATCTGATGTAATAATGGGGACGATCTTGAACATGTTCACAGACGGCAAACTTTCCGCAGCGTCGGTGCTTCACGTGAGCTATATATGTATCTACTTCCACGCAGGTTTTTAAAAATATTTTCGGTTGTTCTATGTAAAAGACTACACTCACAATCTAGCTTGTACACATCTGTTGGTATGTGGTACACAATGGTAAAATGATGGTAAAATTTGACTAATTGTCTTCGGCAGTTTGTACTATGTTTTAATGGAAAATCGCTTCAACCAACCTCGCCTCTAACTTATTCAACATATTATGGTAGTACAGCAGGCACACGCTCGACTGCGACTGAAACATTAAAACCGACCATAGATTCATTGTCTGTGAGATGTAGGTCTTCTATCTCACTAACAAAATGGTATGAATCCTTTGTGTGTGCTCCGGTGTGTACTCTCAAGGGTGACAGTATTCTTGTGTAAGTGTTGAGCCAACTTATAAGTCGGTGAATCGATCTGGCTCACTATGGGACGTACTGGAGCATTTGGTTTGTGTAATATCTTCGGTCACTCATACAACCTCGGTAGTTCGGCACATAATGGTATTATCGAATTCTAATTAATATTAAAAAACTGAAGGTAGCCGGGCTAACAATGGCACTGGGATGTCAAACATCTCAGTGCTCCGTGACCATGGGTGCTGTAAAGCACCCGAAACCTCACGAATTAAAAATAATTTATTAAACGCGATAAAATAAAAATGTTTCATTCAATTTAATGTGGTATTCGCGTAAATATATAAGAAACCATTAAAATTTTATTTTAAAAATTTTGCACATAATTGGCAGCCTTAAGTAAAGAAACACGCCATCTTTGGACGAAAGTAAGAAGGTATGTAATTTTTAAAAACAAAACATTAATTGGAATAAAAACAGATATATGAAAGTAATATTACTACGTGGTGCTCTTTAACAGTTAAAAACTGAACTAAAAACGGTCCACTATCTACACTCTCTGTAGTAAATATATTTTTTCATGCCCTACGTAGACTACAATTATATAACACCATCTATTATAGACTCTAGAAACTCTAGTGGACTCTAAAAGGATCACGGATCTTTTCTGTTGCTTGTATGATTAACAGATGTCGCTATTCCATAGTTAACAAATAAAAAAAACTTTATTTGCTACTTGTATTGAAATAAAGTTGAAAATCAAATAATGTTTAAATACCGGGAATATTTTTACGGTATTTCTACCAGCTGTCTACGTTCTATTCATGGAGTATAGAGGTATGGAGGACAATCTCCCATAGGAGAATTGTTGAAAATGTATCCATCTGTAAGCAGTAAATAACAGTTCAAAAACTTTTCACAACACAGTAGCTACAGGTTACAAGAAATCGCCGTAAAATACGTTGAGAGCGATTTTGAGAATATAATTTTGAAAGAAATAAAATAATTATTGTAAAAAGAATTATGGTGAAAGTCTGTGCAATAAAAAACAATCACAAGAAATTCTTTAAAATTTAGACTGTAGCTACAGTGGCGCCACCCTTATTTAGCACTTTCCTACGGACTATGGTGTAGATTTTAGAGCTACTGAGCAGTTTAGCACCACACTTAAACCGTCGACAATGCTAAGTTCATTTCATCCCAGTAGCTACTTCAGCGCTGCTGTGGAGAGTTTTTGAGCTGTTATTTACTGCTTACAGATGGCCACTTTTTCAAATGTTCTACTTTGGGAGTTGGTACTCCTTACTTCGACACTCCATATTTCTATATTAAAATTTAACAGATCAAAACACACATTAGCAGTACTTTGTAACAAAATAACCATGGAGCGTAGGGGTACCTCTAAACTCCATGAAAATAACCAACAGATAAAAGCGCAAATCGCTCTGTCGTTGTGAACTGTGATAAACTTAACCAGAATTTCTTTTTTATTGAATAGTATTACCTACAATGAGTGAGTTTGCTTTTGTTTTATGTTTTGGTAAATAGTTAAAAAGACAAGTTTAAAAAAATGCAGTGAACGAAGGAGACAAAAATCGGTGTGCATTAATTAACACTAGGTGTAGGGCAGACAAGACTAAGTGAAGTCGGGGCGTGCTAATTCGGTTTTAGAACCGATTTCACCAATCGTATTGTGACCGCCCAATATTATTATTAATAATTAAATTCAATATAAAGGGGCGTCAAAAATAGTCTTAAAAGATATGTATTAAGCAATTAACTTAAATTAATAAACATAAAGTTAATATATTTCAGACATTATCCCAATAACATAGTAAATTAAAGGCAAAATAATTGTTTTTCGTAATAAATAAATTTATTTAAAAAACTTGGAAAAAATATTTAAAATAAGATAAATAATAGAAATACAAGTCAAAAAATATTATAAAATTAAGTTAAATAACGTTTATAAGATAATTAGAAAATTTGTTAAAAATTGTTTAAGTCATGGGAGGAGTTCGTGTATAAAAGAAATTTCCTAAGTTGTGGAAGGAGTTCACGTATAAAAGAAAAGTTTCCTAAGTTATGGAAGGTGTTCATGTATAGATGTCTTGAATAGAGGAGCTGCCGGAGATACATACCTGCAGTTGTACATATATATGGGGTGGTCGGGAGCCCGACTGCCTGAAGTACTGTAGCACAATGACTAGTCCTATATTAGGGACTTATGATATTAAACTCAATGATACAAAAGCAATACTAAAGAAGGTCTCCATGATGAATTTGCATTACAATAGTAGGGTCGTGGGTTCGAACCCTATATATTAATGACTTATGAAAGTAAGGTCTATGATCCAAAAACAATACTATAGAAGGTCTCTATGATTAATATGCATTACAATAGTAGGGTCGTGGGTTCGAATCCTATATATGAATGACTTATGAAAGTAAGGTCTATGATTCAAAAGATGAAGTCTTTTTACAAGTAGGTGGTTGAATCCATATCATGACTTATGAAAGTAAGGTCTATGATTCAAAAGCAATATTATAGGAGGCCTCCTTGATGCATAAGCATTGTGTGGGGTGGTCGGGTGACTGACTGCTCCTAGTACTGTAGCAAAATGACTAGTCCTTATTAGAGACTTGAAAAGGAATATTATAGTGGCGTGTGTGCTGCTTCACGAGCAATTGGTCCGAGGTAAACTTGGACTCGCTAACCGATGTGTCCTAGACATATCATCTTAGTGCCGGTGGTAAGCGGGTTTGTTGTAGCAATACGGCTTTCCCGTGGACATCGCACACCCATACCGTTTGTGGGCGGCGTAGTAGCGCATAGCGATGCGTCGTCTATCTTTCGGATTGGGATGATGAGTGTGTTTGGTAGCACTTTTAAGTGTAACAGACATACTCAACTTCATGTCTTAGTGCATTAGCGCTATGATACGTGGAGTTTTGTTCATTGGCGTCTTAGTAGCGTGCTACTCTGATACCTTGGTGATATTTTTTAGTTAACAACAATGCCAACTTTGTTACCAAAGTCGATAGGGATCATGTGGGTGTGTTGTGAGGGGGCGCCATCCGTATGATAGTTGCATTGATGCTTACTGCTACTTGCGGTATTGCGTCTTGTGATGGATCTGCGGGTGTGCTGCGCCTGATTCGACGCATTCTTTTGGTTCTGGTCGATGGAGGTATACAATTAACATCTTAGTGCCGGTGGTAAGCGGGTTTGTTGTAGCAATACGGCTTTCCCGTGGACATCGCACACCCATACTGTTTGTGGGCGACGTCGTTGCGCATAGCGATGTGTCGTCTATCTTTCGGATTGGGATGATGAGCGTGTTTGGTAGCACTTTTAAGTGTAACAGGCATACTCAACTTCATGTCTTAGTGCATTAGCGCTATGATACGTGGAGTTTTGTTCATTGGCGTCTTAGTAGCGTGCTACTATGATACGTTGGTGATATTTTTTATATAACAACAATGCCAACTTTGTTACCAAAGTCGATAGGGATCATGTAGGTGTGTTGTGAGGGGGCGCCATCCGTATGATAGTTGCATTGATGCTTACTGCTACTTGCGGTATTGCGTCTTGTGATGGATCTGCGGGTGTGCTGCGCCTGATTCGACGCTTTCTTGTGGTTCTGGTCGATGGAGGTATGCGGGTGGTGATGTCTGCTGGGATGTATGGGGGACCTTGGGATGGTGTAAGCCCGACGATAGTCGTATTGATGTTTGTTGCTTTCTGCAGCATTGCGTCTCTGCGATGGTTGTTTGGTGGGACGCTATTCTCAATTGCGCTCTCTGCGTCTTGGTTTGACTCACGCCTGAGTAGCTTTGCCCAAGTCGGGTCCCTTCATTACGGGGCTGCAGACTGTCTGCCCTCCACGATGTTTTATATAACAACATAATGTTATATCTCTGTAACTTTCCCACCTTTGAATGATTGAAGGCAACTTGTTGGTGGGTGAGACAAACATGATCGAAAATGCATTTACTCAACGTCAGTGACACAAACCCTTTCTGATGGCGAATTATTACTCTTATCTTATAACTGCCTTTTGGCTATACCTGCCGTTGTATTGGTTGGTGGAGCATATGTGTCGACCTCATGCGGGTGGTAGCTGGCGGGAGGATCTGAGGAGACTCTCAAGTCTGCGGCCGAAAGTCGCACAACGTGGGACCCCATTCCCTTGAGGTGAGCGATAGACTTATGACACGCTCTGCGGCTAGTAGCCGTGCTGATCATGCAATTGGTGGTGATGCCATACACTTACATCACGTTTGCAGGAGCAGCGGACTGGCAGGTGGTGGCGCTCACGGAGGGTTTACGGCCAGTGTGCCTATTTGCCTAAACCGTGTGACGTACATTCACTGTGGCTGGATTCGTTCGTATCCTGTTTGGCGTTTACACGCATTGACATGCGCGACTTCGGTCGATGTTTGTGCTTACGCACTAACAAGGGGCCAAGCCTCTTTTACTGGTTCATCAGTTATTTTGCTGTGGACTACGGTCCAGTTCCCGAATTAGCGTTCCCTACGGGGGAGAGTGCATCAAAATGGTTGGCGCTCACCGTGCACGGCGTGTGTGGGGCCGTGTATCTCCCCCTACATTTTTTTTCAATAAATGTAGGAGAGCGAAGTCCTTGTATCGGGTATTTTTGTATAAATATATTGTGAGCCTTTTCCAAGCGGGAAGGTAGGTCAACCTGATACAAGTGGAATAAAGACGTTTTACGTTCTTAACCTTTCTCGAGCCCTGTCTTCGTGAACGGGGTTCACTTAGCTTATAAGGCACTACCAACAGCTTTCAATTGCTCTAGTGAATATTCATTCTTCCAAAGGACACCTAAAAGAACTAAGTTACTAAACAAACACAACGTAAATAAGGGTCCTAACTAAGACGATCACGCCAAAATATTACAAACGGCCTATTATTAAACCTTTAGAAAGATCATTTAGAAAGACCAAAACATATTTTATTTATCCTAGTCACATATATATAATTTTTATTATAAAGGAGAATTAATTATACTTAATATAATAATATTTTTATACATAGAGGGGGGGGAAGCGTTACAGTATCTATAAACTCAGGTTGTTTGACCCTGACAAGCCTCCTAAACTGAAAACATAATTGAAATCAAGTACCGGATATCTACAGCCAACCCAAAAAAACCCTTCATATAAACTAGGATAATAAATTTAAAAAAAAACCCTAAAACAAAAACATTTTTATTGGTGTTCACAGGAATGATTACTATTTATACATGTGTTAATAAAATGATAAAAAATATGCTATTAATATAAAACAGAAGTATCTTCATCGAAGTAAATGATAAGTTATATATTGAATAGTATTACGTTTCCTAAACGATTATAATTATTAATAAATACAAAATCGTTATCTAATTATTGTATGATACTTAATATGCTAAAATTCAAACTGTGGATACCGTAGATATAGTATACATTAGATTGGCGATGGAGTGATTATGATGAGACCAAAAACGAATGTACCGGTGTGAGCGTAGATAGAGAAACCTATAGACAAATTGACGCCTTCTTTCGCATTCGCACACGAAAAAGATAGATTTATGCATACTTCTTGCATATAAATGAGACAGAGCGGTGTGATTGTTTGTACCTTTCTCCGTGACGGTTTTTTTGTTTAGCAAACTAAACTTTGCTAAACAACTTTGACAGTTCGTAGTGCTCTAAGGAGTTTACAAGTTTAAGTGAGAAAAAAAGTGTTTTGTAAGCTTGAGATTGGTGAATCTTGTTCAGTTCAGTTCTTAGAACAATTAAAAACTTTAAAAATGGTTAGATGTAGTGCCTTAGGATGTAAAAGTGATAGTAAACGTAAACTCTCCGGTATATCATTTCACTGGTAAGTATAGTACATTTTATCTGGTATTACGTATAAAATTCAATTTTTATTTTAAATTTCGTTACAGAACTATATAAATATACGTTTAAATTTTATCTAAATATGTTTAAAAGTCATAAAGATAATTGTATAACCTAAAACTACGTTATCGTCCTTTCTCACTCGAGACCACGCTAATCATTACTCTATAGTATGGAGTGTAGAATTAAGGAGTACAGACTGTGTATTAAAAAGTGTCCATAAAAACCTTTAAATAAGGATGGCGCCACTATAGCTACGGGGTAAATTTTAAAGAACGCACCGAAAAATATTAGTGGGATAGACGACTTTTTCGAGGTTATATTTACTAAATAAAATTATTTTAGATTTTAGAGCTACTGATCAGTTTAGTAGCACATTTAAACCGTCGACAACTGCTAAGTTCATTTCATCCCAGTAGCTACTCCGGCGCTGTTGTGGAGAGTTTTTGAGCTGTTATTTACTGCTTAAAGATGACCACTTTTTCAACTATTCTACTATAGGAATTGGTACTCCTTACTTCTACACTCCATACTCTATAGGTTTCTCTGTCTACGGGTCTGAGTGAAATGCGCATGTATGCGAGACGATTAATGCTGCGCCAT